CATCACACAAAAACTTCCGCAATAGGTTTTCGACGTTTGTGTGAAATTAACGGACGAGCATCGCACTGACACAGTTGATACAGCCTATTTTCACCGACACCTCATAAACGTATAGGAGCGATTAAAATTGAGATATAAAAACGTTTCGATGACCTTCTTTCCATTTAATCTACAGCTATATTTTCCCAACTGAAATGAACATGTGTACATATACAACACAAGCACCACCAATAATCGCTGTGTTAATACTTGTATGTGTTCTAGACAATGGTAAGCCGGTCGATAACGTTCTATATTAACCTACATGATGACAACGCGAATCAATTAGCAAGCTCAGGACAGGTTTCAACAAGGAGACACTCGTGATCAGAGTTTTCTCATATTGTTTCCCTGAACCACCATTTCCATGCCTCTCTTAAATAGTACCCTGAGTAAATTACGTAATATGCTGAGTAGGGGCTGGTATTTTTGCTGCCCTGCCCCGAATGTGTATAATTTATATCTGAATCACACAAGGGACTATCGTGTTTCAACACTGCTAATGCTCGCCTTGGTTCATGTATATTTTATCGTCATTCCGTACGAGGCAAAACGTTATGACTCGTATGTCATATCGGCTTGTTTCTAAGGATGGATATAAATATATATATCTACATCCCAATACATCGTTCATCACTTGCACGGATCCAGTTTCACATCATTGACCTTTCGGTGTTGAATCAGCTTAACCAGTTGTTTCCATGCAGAAAAAGAATACTCGTGTTTCTAACGTATTTAGTTCAAAATGAGTTACAAAACTAACCTTCTCGAACTGGTAAGCGTGAGTTTTAATGGAGTTTAAGGATTGATTTCCATGCGCAAGATTAGATAGACGTTGATATATTACACAAGTGAATTACCATAGCTGGATCAACGGGGTTCCTTTAAGTCAAGAACTGCTTTTCCTAATGGCTGATTTCAGAGGCCACATAGGGTTATTTGTTTGAAGAACAGTTTGGGGTCCACTTTCTTTCGAGGTCAATTTCCATCATCGTGTATATAAAGATTGAACCCCGGGGCCAGGTTACGTTTTCTGATCCCAGAAGTGTTGTAGGAAAATAACGATTTTGTGACCTCTCTAAAGAAAATCGTTCTCGTTGCAAAGCAGGTCGTTGGGTCTCGAAGCTGGCGACTTGTGTTGGCGGGGGTGGGTATTTACCGTAACGCACGGCTTGGTGTTCTCGCTTGTGATCAGATCCTCATCATAACTAAATTATCCCAGATGAAGCGGCTAACGTGTCAGTCAGAACAGCCCTCGTCCCGACTGATGTTTGGGAAAAGACGCTCGACCTGTTCAGGAAATGTGTATCTGAAGCTCTGGGTCATGAAACTAGTGACCCACAGCGTTCTTGTACGTTCTGATGATGCTCTGGGTTAAGTGAGTGCGGATGTTACCGTTTCGATTGAACGCTGAGGAATGACAGAACCGTATTCCCAAGCAGCTTGCACGCTCAATGTTTTCTCGGTCGCTTCATAATTATGACAGTCGGTATTCGATACTCGTAATAAAATGAATACCGTGGCTTTTTTCCTGACATAATAGCCTGCTCTTTCGAATCGACATCAAAAACCCTCCGCACGAGACTTTCCAAAGGGCCTGTGTGCTACTAACAGTGGCCTTCTTTCGATCTGAACGAGCAGTCTTTCAAATCGCCATAGTGTTCTCGCAGCTGATCAATAGGTAGCTCCCGACAGGACCGACCTCCAAACTGACAGGTATGGAGCTCGGGAAACCCGTTTCACTGTCTATACAAGCTATTGCAGGATGGTGGACATTTGTGTACTCTAATGGACGCTTGCTTCACTAACATTGTCTCGGTTCTATTCAGTTATGAAGACAATATTCAATACATGTAACTGCAATAACTGATGCAGTAGCTACCGCTATTCATGTCCGGTATTTCAACACATAATGTTTCTGTTGATAGCAGTTGTGTGGGGAATTGTTTATCTTTGATCTGAGGAAAAGGTTGTTACGATTGTCACAACAAGGAACTTGAACGTCAAATTTTGCTAAATAATGCAACTCGTATGTAAATAATATTAGTCTGGTTTTGTGTAGTCCGTGATCCATCTTAAACAGCTCTTCAATGAATGTGATGAAGCACTATTCACTGAATCTGATAGGTCTCTACTTGATCGTATTGTGCTACGTTTACTAAGATTTTTTGGTTTTGTTGTCTTAAATCACATTATATAGTACAACCTGGTAGTGTATCTTTAAATTCCTTATCTGTAGAAATCAAAGACAAGTAATTGATAGTGTTAACTGAAACGTTGATAACATTCTTTCCTGATTGTGATGTCTAAAAAATATCTCGCATTCGAACAAAGGGATGTTGTTTTGGGGTATCATGTAGATGTAGTTATCCGTACTTCGACATATCGTGGCATTTGATTCTTAAAATAACATCGATACAAACCATTCTGGTAAATTAATTATAAACTTCCGACAACATGAAACCAAACGATGGATCGGCGTGCTTCTTCAATTATTATCAACATCAGATGCATTATCAAGTGCCTGGGAATGCACGCTGAAACTTCCACCCACAATTCAACGGCACGATGGTGATAATTGAAAATAATCGGTATCGATCCGCGAGATAGTATCAAATAATTCCGACAAATCTGAGAACCAGCCATCAATTAACCCAACGAGAGGGGAGAAAACTCGCGATATTATACGCATAATGAAATACGAAAGGCAGTTTGTTCTGTACCAATCGTGGCAAGTTTTATTAATGTTTCACCATTTCTTTCCACAAAGCACATCCCCGGGAGTTATGACTGTTATCGCTCTCTGCATGTAACAATGAGTCACAAGATGTTACAAGGTTTTACACAATGTTGCAGTTCATCCATTACATCCCACTATTCCTATTACAGCCCGGTATGTACGAGAGCATATCGCCCCAGCAATATGTTCTACAGTTCACCCAGATCATATTCCCAGTATCAACGGCCAACTAATTATTCCTATGTCTATGTATGATAACATTCCAATATATCGTACACAATATCAACATGTAGCGTACGGGGGAAATTGTTAGTAAATATTCAACACTCACTTCCATCTTTTAGCGACATATTTCAGCTTGATCGGCATTTGTGTAAGATGCAGAGTATACTAGGGACATTTATCAATTGACAGTAACTTAAAAAACACAGTTAAATATTTTTCATGACATAGTTTTGCTGACAACATCGGCATTTTTGTAAGTGCCAGTGTATACAAGGGGTACTTAATTAACCGAACTTCAACCCCAGAAACCCATATTTTAAGGACAGTCTTTAATTTACAACATTGGATTTTTTATTGGACTCCATATACGGTTTATTGTGTATGTATGCAGTGACAGTGGCGAAGTAGTATGGTTTACCTTATTCCAGCGTGAATTAAGTAATTCCACGGAATTATCTGTAACAATAGCTGAAAAAGCCTATATTCGCCCTGTACGCTTCATTCAACGGCGGTAACAGCTTGCACGACTACACCGGCTAAATGATAACATACTGAGTGATCTATAGCTTGTAGGTGGGAGGGTTCTCTAGGTTTAGTCGAAAGGTCTATCTCAACGTTTATATGGATTTTCAAGCTCACCCGAGGTTGATTTTATAGTATTTAAGTCTAATTCCCTATCGTTTCTAAGTCCATGACGAAATCTCCGCGGTAGATAGTGCTTGCTCCTTCAAACAAATCACTTGACAATAGCCATTGTATAGGGTACAGATAACAAGGGTAATACAGGGATAGTGTCAAGTGTCACGTTCAAGTTTAACGAGTTCTGAACTATACATTGCGACAGCCATAAAATAATTCATATCATTTCTTCCTAACAGTAAATCTTGCAATGTTGTTTGTTGTGTTAATTACTGTAGTATGTTGGGATACAGAACGAGGAGTGTTGGTCAACATGCCCGTTGATAAGTGTATATAATAGGGGGCGTGGCCCGGCAAGATTACACACGTTCCCAGGCTCTCCATCCAGATGCTCCAGAACAATGAGAAACGGACTTTGGGTAGTATGTATGTATTGTCACTGTTTCACGTAATTTCAAAGTTCAAAGAGTAGAGACGAACAAATTCTCGCACACATTACAAAGAGAAAAGAATTTCTAACCAAACAATCGCATACAGCTTAATCCATACGCGAACGGTCGAACTGGAATTTGAAACTGGTTTGTGAAAGTGGCCGGGCGAGCAGTTCATGAATCCAGGCTTATTTTATAACCCTGTTCGTTTCATTCCAATAAACATGTCCATTTAATGCGACCCCCAACTGAAAGACGATTTCGTGTAATCTTTTATGGTAGCGCGAACATGTACCGTCCTAAAGCCTTGCTCGTTGGAACGGGGAGATTTAGCATTGTCGATGGCAGACTATTGAGCAGTCATTCATTCTCTGTACAGTATTTAATACAAGCCGATAATAAATCTCAGAGACGATTATGAATTTAGGAATTTCGCCTGAGCTGTAAAGAGATAAACTGGTGGCGATATTTTCTTTAGAAATGGGCGTTCGCTTGTGCACCGAGTGTCGTCTTTTATCACCGCATACACCTGTTTACTCCACAGGTGAAAATATGTAAATGAGCATTCACGGCATTAACATCAAAATAGAGTTAAATGTGGAAACATGGTTGTATTATTTAGAGTAAACATGGTCTACACATCGTAAATACATGGAACACACCATCAACAGCGTGTAAACTGCCTCTATCACGTGAAATTGTTGCATTTCAACAGTTGACTGAACACGAGATATCGTCAGCTCACATCAAAAGTATAAGGTTTCATTCCTTTCAACACGGTCATTGTAAAACGCCCCCCTACACGAAATTCACGTGGTGGGTTGTCAAAAATAGCCCGCACGCCTCTAGGGTGGGACACGAGCAACGAAAGCCCTGGGGGTGACGGAATCTCACGCCTGGGGTAGTAAATGCTGAAATAGTCTTACCTCTTCTTCTGGTGTGGTGTTGACAGAATCCATGCTCTGTGACAGCGCAATGGTCGTCTCTGTGTTAAGCCCAGTAGTGGTGTGGTTCGCCATTTCATTAGATCTCATAGTGTTCAAGGCTCGGTAACCCCTCTATAGTTGTGATGAGGCGCTACGGTGTCCAAGCGTTCGACGATATCACAGCAATGATAGAGTCAGGGAATCCCACCGCGCCGAGTGCTCACCGCTAGCTAGCCGTGTGTGATGGTGAACAGAAGATATATTGTGGGAGAAAAGGATAGAGGGAAGCTACTGTTCCATCAAGCTGTATCCGAATAGTTCATGTGGGTAACAGGTCGGCGTTAGAGTAACTGACAGACTATGAAGCGGACTCGTACACCTCCCGATTTATTTTGTTATTCAAATGCACGCACATTCAGTCAGTGACGTCACACGTCAGTCCCGGCATGCTTTGGCGACCTCTGACCCCGCGCGAGCTGCTTTTGTCTTGCGTTAAGCTCGCCTATCGTTATTGGCCATTCAATGAGGAAAAAAATACGCGATTATCAACCTGAGAGGAAAATGTTAGCCGATTATGAGGAAAATCCCTTCTGTTTGGTGTACACTTGAACGAGTGACGTGATTTTCTGCCTTGCTACATGTAGGCGACATACATACACGCCCCCTTACAGTGTTACAATGTTGCTAATGAGGTCGGATAATTATCAAGAATACAGCCCGAACTAAAACACTGCATGAGGAGAGTTGCTGACATTTAGACTAATTTATATCCCAGATGTGACCCAGCCTGCACTATGCCGTTCAGAATAGCTATACAGGTCTCGGCGGAAAAAAAATCGAAAATATTTCAGCTCGACTCTAGACAGGGTTATTGATTTTGGAGTATTAGGTTTTTCAACACGTGCTTTGAAAGTTAATGTAAAGATGTACACGAAGGTTTGCAGGCAGCATTGATCTGCACCCGAGTCCCTTTGTTTGAGTCCTGGTGAGTGGAGCCTGACGGAGCTAATTAACGCAGGGCGCTCCTCGGTGCATTTGATGCCGTTGTTTAGCGAACAATGTACCTGTCTGATCAGGTAAATTCCCGTGTAAAATATTATCGAGTTAGTGGTTCGTCTATAATTATTGCTTGACAACAAGTATTTTCCTTCGACGAATTTGTTTGTAGAAATTGCCATAATTTGAAAATAGGTATGTTTATAGAACAACTTGGTTTCTACCTTCTCCGCGCATGTGTCTGTCTACCTGAACGACAGGTCACTGGGTTTGTTAGCGTAAGAGCTTGTCGTTATTGATAAACTAATAACAATGGTGATCTAATACTTTTAATACTTGATCATAAAATGTCACGTGACCCACCAGGTGTTTGAGCTGTACGGAACACATTGTTTGACTGATGGCGAATAATATTGGAATGTGCGGGAGGTGTTTGACTGGATGTGTTTGTATGGTTCAGTGGGGGCTGCAGGTTGGATACACTGTTTGATTGACGGGTAAAATATTTGACGAAAACGTTTAATTGTTTAACAAATAGATGTCATAAGATAAATATCGAAACAAGAAAGTGTTTGACAAGCTGGTTGCATGTTTGATCTATACAGCTATTGAACGATTGATGCAAGATGTGGCACGAACGATACAGTGTTTGACAGAGGGATGAGGTATTTGATACGAGATAAATTGTTTGAAATAAAGTGCATGCTATTTGATAGAATATTTTTGTCTGACGTAAGACAGAGGGTTTGACCGATAAAGTGTTTGACATAAGATACAGTGTTTAACTGATAGGATATGGTGCTTGACATAAGATACAGTGTTTAACTGATGAGATATGGTGCTTGACATAAGATACAGTGTTTAACTGATGGAGTATGGTGCTTGACATAAGATACATTGTTTAACGGATAGGATATGGTGCTTGACATAAGATACAATGTTTAACTGATAGGATATGGTGCTTGACATAAGATACAATGTTTAACTGATGGGATATGATGCTTGACATAAGATAGAGTGTTTAACAGATGGGATATGGTGCGTGACATAAGATACAGTGTTTAACTGATGGGATATGGTGCTTGACATAAGATACAGTGTTTAACTGATAGGATATGGTGCTTGACATAAGATACAGTGTTTAACTGATGGAGTATGTTGCTTGACATAAGGTACAGTGTAAGATACAGTGTTAAACTGATGGGATGTGGTGCTTGACATAAGATACAGTGTTTAACTGATGGGATATGGTGCTTGACATAAGATACAGTGTTTAATGGATGGAGTATGGTGCTTGACATACATATGGCATAGTATTAAACTGATAGGATATGGTGCTTGACATAAGATATAGTGTTTAACTGATGGGATATGGTGCTTGACATAAGATACAGTGTTTAACTGATGGAGTATGGTGCTTGACATAAGATAGAGTGTTTAACTGATGGGATATGGTGCTTGACATAAGATACAGTGTTTAACTGATGGGATATGGTGCTTGACATAAGATACAGTGTTTAACAGATGGGATATGGTGCTTGACATATGATACAGTGTTTAACTGATGGGATATGGTGCTTGACATAGATACAGTGTTTAATTGATGGATTATGGTGCTTGACATAAGGTATAGTGTTTAACAGATGGGATATGGTGCTTGACATAAAATACAGTGTTTAACTGATAGGATATGGTGCTTGACATAAGATACAGTGTTTAACTGATGGGATATGGTGCTTGACATAAGGTATAGTGTTTAACAGATGGGATATGGTGCTTGACATAAGATACAGTGTGTAACTGTTATGATATGGTGCTTGACATAAGATACAGTGTTTAACAGATGGGATATGGTGCTTGACATAGATACAATGTTTAATTGAGGGAGTATGGTGCTTGACATACATATGATATAGTGTTTAACTGATAGGATATGGTGTTTGACATAAGATACAGTGTTTAACTGATGGGATATGGTGCTTGACATAAGATACAGTGTTTAACTGATGGGATATGGTGCTTGACATAAGGTATAGTGTTTAACAGATGGGATATGGTGCTTGACATAAAATACAGTGTTTAACTGATGGAGATATGGTGCTTGACATAAGATACAGTGTTTAACTGATGGGATATGGTGCTTGACATAAGATACAGTGTTTAACTGATGGGATATGGTGCTTGACATAAGATACAGTGTTTAACGGATAGGATATGGTGCTTGACATAAGATACAGTGTTCAACTGATAGGATATGGTGCTTGACATAAGATACAATGTTTGACTGATAGGATATGGTGCTTGACATAAGATACAATGTTTAACTGATGGGATATGGTGCTTGACATAAGATACAGTGTTTAACTGATGGGATATCATGCTTGACATAAGATAGAGTGTTTAACTGATGGGATATGGTGCTTGACATAAGATAGAGTGTTTAACTGATGGGATATGGTGCTTGACATAAGATAGAGTGTTAAACTGATGGAGTATGTTGCTTGACATAAGGTACAGTGTAAGATACAGTGTTAAACTGATGGGATGTGGTGCTTGACATAAGATACAGTGTTTAACTGATAGGATATGGTGCTTGACATAAGATACAATGTTTAACTGATGGGATATGATGCTTGACATAAGATACAGTGTTTAACTGATGGAGTATGGTGCTTGACATACATATGACATAGTGTTTAACTGATGGGATATGGTGCTTGACATAAGATACAGTGTTTAACTGATGGGATATGGTGCTTGACATAAGATGTAGTGTGTATCTGATGGGATATGGTGCTTGACATAAGATATAGTGTTTAACTGATAGGATATGGTGCTTGACATAAGATACAGTGTTTAACTAATGGGATATGGTGCTTGACATAAGATACAGTGTTTAACTGATGGGATATGGTGCTTGACATAAGGTATAGTGTTTAACTGATGGGATATGGTGCTTGACATAAGATACAGTGTTTAACTGATATTATATGGTGCTTGACATAAAATACAGTGTTTAACTGATGGGATATGGTGCTTGACATAAGATACAGTGTTTATCTGATGGGATATGGTGCTTGACATAAGATACAGTGTTTAACTGATGGATATGGTGCTTGACATAAGATATAGTGTTTAACAGATGGGATATGGTGCTTGACATAAGATACAGTGTTTAACTGATAGGATATGGTGCTTGACATAAGATACAGTGTTTAACTGATGGGATATGGTGCTTGACATAAGATACAGTGTTTAACTGATGGGATATGGTGCTTGACATAAGATACAGTGTTTAACTGATAGGCTATGGTGCTTGACATAAGATAGAGTGTTTAACGGATAGGATATGGTGCTTGACATAAGATACAGTGTTTAACTAATGGGATATGGTGCTTGAGATAAGGTATAGCGTTTAACAGATGGGATATGGCGTTTGACATAAGACACAGTGTTTAACTGATGGAGTATGGTGCTTGACATACATATGATATAGTGTTTAACTGATATTATGTGGTGCTTGACATAAGATACAGTGTTTAACTGATATTATGTTGTGCTTGACATAAAATACAGTGTGTATCTGATGGGATATGGTGCTTGACATAAGATATAGTGTGTATCTGATGGGAAATGGTGCTTGACATATGATATAGTGTTTAAATGATTGGATATGGTGCTTGACTAAGAACAGAGCTTAAATCATGAGATACGGCGCTTGGCATAAGATTCCGTGTTTAACTGATGGAATACAATGTTTGACGTAACAAGCAGCATTTCCCCAGCGGTATATTGTCTCTGGTGTCCCTGGAGGAACTGTCCGCTTGACATTACTGCAGTACATAATTGATTGAATAGAGAGTTTAACATATGACACAGTATGTTACTGATGGGATCTAGTGTGTACACAAGGTACAAGTAGCAGGCTAGTGTTATTGATAGAAGTAGCAGCAGCATTAGTCGCGTTGATCGTAAAAACATCAATATTAGTCGTGTTGATAATAGTATCAGCGATATAAGTCTCGTTGATGATATTATCAGCAACACTAGTTCCGTTGATCGTAGTAGCATTATTTGTTGGGATAGTAGCAGAATAATGTTAAATAATCCGATAATGAATGATCGAAAACAAAGGAAAATGCATTAATAAACTGTGTGTACACAAAGCCAATGAGGAAGGTACCCATTACTGAGCGCCATTCGGGCGAAGCATCGAGACAGGACAATGTCTCTATTTCCAGGAATAGATAACTCTGACTGAATTTAGACACTCGAACAGAGTAGCCAAGTTGCACAAAACCCATCAAGGTCCATTTCGTAATAGCTGCGATTTCAGCCAATCACCATAAACCTTCCCAAAGACGTACTAAAGTGACGTCATCAAAGACCCGAACGTACTCACAGACTGGGCTACTATCTATAAAGCTTGTGCGTTGCTATC